GTGTGATCTCCTTGATGTAAGATAAAGAGGTAAAGTGTATGTTGTTTTCTTGTGAAACAACTAAATTCATGTTATTGGGAGCTAAGTTCCTTAAATTATTAAGTAGAGCAGTATTTTGGGTATGTGGTGTAAGATTATCACTGTTTTGATCATGGTTTTCAATAATTGGGGTGATTTCATTATTTTGTATGAATTCATTAACTGTATATGATGTATTGTATATAATTTTATTAAGGAGTGATTTTGGATATGAATTGTCAATAAAAAGTTTATAAATGATATCAAGATTCTTTTTATGGAAAGACCGGTCTGAGATTTTCAAAACTCTGTTTTTTATTTGTTTTATTAAATTCACTTTCATAGATTGTTTATGGTAAGAATGATAGTTCAGGTATCTACCTGAACTGCAAGGTTTTCTATACCAATCGATAATGATTTTGTTATCTGGGGTTCGAATGAACTTGGTATCTAGAAATGGAACCGAGCAATTTTTATATTCCTTTTCTATTGTGAATTGTATGTATGGATCATAGCTATTAAGAGTATTTAATATCTCGTCTAGGCCCCAACTAGGGAGTGTAAGGATAATGTCATCGACATACTTTTTTATAAAAGGTATATTAAAAGATAAAACTGGAATAACTGTGTCCAGTAAGTCATCCATCACATAAGCAGCTAGGATAGGTGAGATAGATGCACCCATAGGGGTACCAAAAGTTTGTTTATAGTATTTGTTATCGAATGAAAAATATGTATTATTAAATGAGATCTATGAAAGTTGATTGATTAATATTACAATGATTGCTTATGCGATCCCAATTTTTATAGATAGATCTGTGTACTGCATCTAAGTAAACATTACTGAAAAGAGATACTACATCCAAGCTAGCAATAACATGATCATTAGGTAGTGTCATACCATTAAAAGTTTGTGAGACTTCAAAGGAGTCTTTTATAAAATAAACATTATAATAGTCATAGGCTTTTGTTAAGATATCAGTAAGAAACGAAGCAAGAAGAGCAGTAGGGGCACCTGTTGATGCTAATATAGGTCTAACTGATAAAGTAGGTTTATGTACCTTAGGTAAAGCATAGAATTTTGGTGATATTCCTTTATAGTTAGTTAGTTTCTTTTTTAAATTAGTATCTATTTGGTTCGTTTCAGCTAAATTATTAACTAATTTGTTGCATTTTAGCTGAATTGATGCTGTTGGATCATTATTAATTTGTATATAAGAGTTATCATTTAGAATTAATTCATTAGAAAGATTTAAATATTGTTGTTTATTAAGAATTACGGTTATATTACCTTTGTCGGATCTAGTTAGGACAATATCAGGATTATCTTTTAGAAACTTTTTAGTTTTATTGTATAGATTATGATAAAAAGAGTTATTAGAGGTATTATTATGTATATGGTTAGTAATAACGTTAGTTGATCGAGCTATCGTGATATTTTTTAAGTGTTTATCATTGATATATGAAGAAATATAATCTATATCAGCTAGAATGCTTTTTATGGAGATGTCACTACCAAGCACAGGTTCAATACTAAATTTTGGGCCCAGTGATAAGAATTTTAGAATGTCATCAGGAATTATTTTTTCAGAAAGATTTTTTATCCAATTAGTTTTAGTATTAAGTTTGATTTGTGATTCTTGGATTTTAAGATTATTAATTTTATGTATGTTGTTATTTTTAATTTTATGAAATAGTCTGTTATAATGCCTTTGTTGTTTATGGGCAAAAGTAGTGAAAATAAGTTCATTAGTTTGAGCAATAATTTCTGATTTCAAAGTTAGTAAAGAAGACTCTGATTGATTGATAATTTTATGGTTAGTTGCGATTTCCACATTTATAAATATTAATAATAACATTAAGATAGCCAATAAGGCAGTTCTAACAATAGGCTCAATCTATTCTAAACTCAAAGATAAAACCTCCTTAAAATCATTATCAGATGTAGTATACAACATTCCTTGTCTAGAATGTAATAAAGTCTATATTGGTCAAACACAAAGACCTATCTCAGGTAGAATCTCCTCCCACAGGAGTGATTGCAGACTACATCCAGAACGTTGTGCTTTGGCTGAACATGCTAATAAATATCAACATAATATAAATTATGACGAAATTAAAATATTAGCCATTGAAAATAACTACCATAAAAGACTTTTCTTGGAGATGGCTTTCATTTCACAGGAACCAAATTCTATGAACAAAAAGACAGATATTAACAATTTAAGTGTAATTTATTCTTATTTATTGGATTTGGACAATAAACCAAACCAAATTCATAATTTAAATAATACAGAGCTAATTTAATATAAAACTCACTTTGAACATTTAAAAAATATTAATGATATGTAAACATAGCATTATCCACATTTATTTCCTAACCTCTAATAACTTGTTATTTATTTAAAATTTTACTTGTCATGTCAAATTGACCTTTCGTTATTTATATTTTTTATTTTTTAAAGTATCGTAGTTATTGTTTGTGTATAATATTATTTTGTAATTGACTTCAGCTTGTCCATTTTACTTTGTATTTTTACTAAACTGAATAATACCACCAAAATGAACAACCTTAATTAAGATGTAAGTGATGACAAAAAAATTTTTTTAACTTACTTTATCATAATATGTGGTATTATTTTATTTTAGTCTCCCTGATGATGGAAATAAACATTTCCGAAAGCTTGGAATAAACTTAAAAAAGTACTCTTTCATTTGCTGCATTACCCACCAATTACTGGTTTAATTATATATATATAATTTCAAAATAATCAAATCAATTAATAAAACAAATTATTATCATTATAATATAAACATAGATTCTAACCTCCAACATCTTCTTGTTCTTCTCAGCGACCGAATCAATTTCGCGAGTGAACATCATTGTGAGAGGAGACAGAGACATATTAGAAAAAAATAGAGATAGTACCGTTCCCATTGAATCGGTAGATAACCGGTACCTCGCGGCAAAATGCTGATTGTCATGTTTAATTAAAGTTATAAAAAGCAAGCAAAGTAAATTTTAAAAGGAAATTAAGTAAGAGATTAATTACTCAGAAGCCAAAAGTATGGAAAATTAATTAAACTGGGCCACTTAAAAGATAAAGGTAAATGATATTTAATCGTTCGCATAGAAAAGTCATATTATCTTATAAGTCATTGCCCAAAACTTAATTTTAAATTTGAGAATAAAAAAACAGCTCCAATATTGCCATTAGTCCATTGAAGAGGTTGGATATTTAAATTTTACATAAAATATGTCACTTTTACTAGTAGTCCATAGACTTTTGAGTAAATCAATAGCGATCAATAGTAAAACACTCAGCACTAAGAGAAAAGGCTTCAAGCCACTAAACTAAATGAATAGAAATAAGATAGTTTTTCGTGTACATAGTTAAGTTAATTAGAAATCGTAATAATTCTGACATATCAAAAATGGATGTTGTTTGACATTTAAAATAAAAAATTTGTTCCAACAGCTCCTTTCTGATGTGTCTCTGACTCGTGCATAGATGCATTCGTAAACTAATCACTGCGCATGTCAGTCCGTTTATTCGTCCGTTGTTTATTCAGCGACTTGTCCTTTTTGGAACGCAAAATGCAATGGAATTGGACAAACCAAACACATGTTTGGTGAATTGGTATTTTAAACATTATTTAAAATACAACAAAATACCTGTATTTAACTTTCTCGAACGCTCTATGTCAATGTATTAATTTTGAAACCTTAAGATGTTTATTTTTATTAAAAATAAGTACGTATTTCACATTAAAAAAAGTATAAAGAAGATAAAAACAAAAATTATTCATTTCAATTGAAAAAAATAGAAGTCCAAGCCACTCCAAGCTAACTTAAAATCCCAACAATTACAAACAAATAGCACAAACGAGAAGAGACGTTCAAATTCGCATGTGCTGATAAATTGTACAAGCGATGAATCTCTGATTGTCTTGACAATCCGCCGACTCATTCATGTACAAATCAGAAAATACGTTGGGACGTTTTAATGACAGTTCATCGGATTATCGGTGTCTTTGTAGGAACGGATTATTTTCAATGCGCATGCGTCTGACGTCCTTCTGATGATCAGATTCGCTGTTGGATCAAACCTATAATATAAATTGGATAGGCAAAGTTAGACAACCAACAATACATATTGGATATAATGTCATATAATAGTTGATTTATTTATATTTACAGGGACATTTACCATATTAGTTTGATAAAGGTTTATTGATCATTTTGTGAAAGTTTTCTTTATTAACACGTTAACGGCCACCATGAGAGAGAAAAATCTGGTCCCACATGCCAACTTTTTTTTATTGTGGTTTTTGCTCCTATTTGGCACCAATTTGATAAAGCAATACCATTTCTTTAAAAATACTGTAAGGTTTTTCTCTTATTCACTTTTATTTGTGAGACATGCGTTATGTGTCGCGCGGCCCATGAAATCAAATATACATATGGGCGCCGCGCGACGCAAATACTATGTCGCATAGTAATAGTCAATGAGAGGGCGTACTTATTCCCCCACCAATACGGGCCACGTTGCTGCGAGTCTGTGCACGATGTGCTTATCAGCGATGTTACATTTAGTACAATTGTACTTTTTCTAGTACTATTGAATGACATTTAGTACGTTAGTACTACGCTGGCAAATCTAGTACTTTTTGTCTTACCGGTTGGTCTATTCTAGAATCCATCGGCAATAAGCTAACTTTACACATGAAAAAACATTCTATCCTTGTGTGGATTTCCGTCACTTTTGAATGGCCACGATCTCGATCTAATGTATTTATTAACAAAAAAGAAGAATGTGATTGTTGACATATGACATCTGACATCGTGTATGTGTGTGTGTGTTTTGTGATGACATTGCGAAATTTCTAGAATTTTGTAGTTCTTAGTCTTAGTATTAATTTTTAATTTATTTAATTTTAATAATATAATAATAATAACTATTATAAATAAAAAATAAAACATGGATAGGTATCTAACAACAGTGTCTAATAAAAAAGATGCTCAAGACTCTCAAGGAAGCGAAAGCAGTCTACCGGTGGTGGAAGAGTCTGAAAATAGATTTCAGTCTGAAAAAAAATACAATCAAAAATTTAAAGCTTCCTTGCTGACAAGCTACCCCTGGCTAGAAGAGTATCAAGACACCCAATCGACCCAATGCAATGCAATTGCCAAATGCAAAGTTTGCAACACTAATATTGTAGGAAGTTTGTCTCACATAAAAAGGCATGAAAAGACATCCGTTCACACTAAAAAAATGAAAACTTACAAAACTACTCCCTCTGTTTTAAATGCATTTCAGGACAATAACTCGAGTGAGCGAAAATATTTAAGACGAGTTAAGGAAGTAGAAGTAAAAATAGTGGCATTCCTAGCTGAAAATAATTTACCATTTTCATTGGTAAACAATTTTGTTCCTTTCATTGGGTCAGTAGCACCTGAATCAAAAATATTAAAAGATATACACATAAAACGTGTAAAAGCAGCACAAATTTGTAATGCAGTTATTGGAGCAAATCATGAAAAAGAGGTAGCCAAGGATCTTCAAGTTTCTAATTTTTCACTTATAATTGACGAGACCACTGATATCAGCTCCAAAAAATGTCTTGCTGTTGTTGCTAGGTATTATAAAAATGGAGTAATTTCAGATGTATTTTTTTCTTTGATTGAGTTAGAATCAGGAACGTCAGAATCTGTTTTTAAATCTGTGATGGATTTATTAAATAAATATAAAATACCAGTGAAAAACCTAACAGGAATTGGTGCAGATAATTGCAATGTTATGATGGGGAACGTTGCAGGTTTTAAGGCACTTTTACAAAAAGTAAACAATTCAGCTAAAGTTATTGGATGTACATGCCATTCTTTAAATCTGTGTTCATCTTATGCTTGTAACAAATTGCCAAAAAGTATGAAATACTTTTCCAGAGATATTTATAATTATTTTGCTCACAGTTCTAAAAAATTGCAAGAACTAAAAGAGTGTCAGATATTTGCTGAAGAAAAACCACATAAAATCTTAAAACTGGCAAATACTCGATGGTTGTCACTTGAAATGGTGGTTAATCGCATACTAGAACATTGGAACTCCTTGACGTTATTTTTTCAATGACAATCCTTGGAAGAAAAATGTACTAATGCAACTGCGCTTCTTGCGGCGTTGAGAAATCCGGTTTCAAACTTTATTTTTTTTTTCTTTCATATATTTTAAACGTAATTAATAAAATGAATTTGCTTTTTCAATCAGAAACTCCACAAATTCAAAATTTACTAAAATCTATAACCACGTTTTATAAAAGTATATTGAAAAGTTTTATTAAAAATGAATTTTGTAAAGATAAATGGTTAAAAGTTCAACTAGATAATCCTAATTACTATTTACCACTGGAAGAAATATATGTTGGAGCAGAAGCTCAAATTTTAATCAATAGCAATAGTATTACCAAACAAGAAATTAACGATTTTAAAATAAAAGTTTTAGACTTTTACATTGAGCTATGTAAACAAATTAAACAAAGGTTTGATTTCGCAGATGCTACTTTAAAATTTGCAGGCAATTTTGATCCAAAAGTGGCCGTTTCAGGTGAAATAAAAAGCATTTCAGAAGCTCAACAAATGTTTCCCTATTTAAATTTAGATATCAAGTCTGTAGATTTAGAGTGTGGAGACTTCTAAGCAATATGGAGGAGTGTGTTTCTTTAATAAAAAAAAGACTGTGATGGTGATGTAAACGGTTTTTGGAGTAAAGTTGGATCGTAAAAAAATGGATTAAACCAATACTTGTTTTCGAACTTGATGCCTGTAATAAAAGCTGTCTTGTGTTTACCTTATTCTTCCGCTGCAGCAGAACGCATATTTTCTCAGCTAAATTTAATTAAATCCAAAACCAGAAACCGTCTTTTGGTAAGAACGTGCAATAGTTTGTTACATACTAAAGATTTATTAAAAAATACTTCTAGTCAAGAATGGCAACCTGGTGAAGAATACCTGACCTATAATCATAATACTTTAAAAAATGAAGATGTATTACAAGATGATATTATTTTGCATAAGTTTTTTTTGCATTATCTAGAATTCACACTTGCGAAAGTTTTTTCTATGTTAATGGCGATATTGTTTAATTTAAGCAGTTTTTTTCTGTGATTTGTTTTTACCAAATAAAGGTAAAATTTGTTTAAAACAGTTTTCTTAAAGTTTATACTTAGCTTTTTGCATAAGTTTTTTCTATGTTAATGGCGATTTTATTTAATTTATGCAGTTTTTTTCTGTGATTTGTTTTAACTAAATAAGGGTAAAATTTGTTTACTTTTCTATGTTAATGGCGATATTGTTAACAAAAAAGAAGAAAAAAGTACTTTTTGGCCCGATTTAGTACGTTTTCGGTTAGATTTTTAGTACGGAACAATGATACTCGCGTAACATCGCTGGTGCTTATTGTCAGTTGCTCAGAGGCGCAGTTAGGACGTAGTAGTGTTTGTTTTTCAAATCGGTGTAATGGGGAGTTATGAAGCGGAGCAAAAGAAGCTTCAACCTTTGTGGAATGAATTGTTGTCTGATGAAGAAAGTAACAGTGAATTTGGCGATGTATATTTGTCAGATGGCTATTCCCCAAGCGGTACTGAACCAAGTGATAGTGCTGAAAGTAGTTCCTAACTACCTAAAAAGAAACTTATAAAAATTGATAAGGGAAAACAGACTGTTGAAAACAGTGGCGCTTCAACTAGCAGACAGGGCATACTTGATAATCGGCAAGACAATATTATTGACCAAGTGATACAAGACGTTATTTCAGAATACACTGTGGAAACTAACGAGAGCCAATACCGATGACCTGTGCAATTTACAGTGGCGGCCCATTGATGGTATGTCCCTAAAAAATATTCCTTTTGTTCCTGGAGATGTTGGCATTAACAACACAAACTTTTTTTGACAGACGATATTATATTGCACATGGTAAACGAAACTAATCGATATGCAGAACAACGTTTATTGAAAAATACGATGCCAAAATCCCGTATAAAGAAGTGGATTCCTACCGATAAGTTAGAAATGGAAACATTTTTGGGTGTTCTTCTATGGATGGGCTTATGCAGATTTCCGACGCTGAGGTCTCCTTGGAAAAAAGGTCCCCTTTATCTTAATCAAATTTCCAAACTTATGTCCCGAAACAGGTTTGAGCTTCTTTTGTCTATGTGGCATTTTAGTAATAACGAAGACGATGCACTCCAAAACGACAGACTACGAAAAATAACTCCTTTAGTGACAAAACTAGTAGAGAGGTTCCAAGCACTTTATACTCCTGGTAAAAATATATGTATCGATGAGACCATGGTCCCATTTCGTGGTCGCCTTCGGTTCAAACAATTTATCAAGAACAAGAGACATAAATTCGGAATAAAGGTGTACAAGCTGTGTTGTCAGGGTGGCTACACATACAATTTAAAAGTTTATTTTGGCAGCGACTACACCGAAGGTGGGCAGGCGTCCGCGAATGTGGTATTCTACCTAATGGAAAAACTTCAGAACGAGGGTCGACATTTATACACAGATAATTACTATACAAGTGTCTATTTGGCTACAGAGTTATTGAAAAAAAAAATACCCATCTAACTGGTACGTTGCGCGGTAATCGCAAATACAATCCTAAGGAGGTGGTCACAAAAAAATAAGATCCAAGGAAATATTTGTCCAAGAAAGTAATACAGGAATAATGGTTCTCAAATGGCATGGCAAAAGAGATGTCCTAATGCTAAGCACGAATCACACAGACAGTCAACAGAAAATACAACAAAGAGGTGGTGACATTGAGAAACCGAGTGTTGTTATTGATTACAATAAGGCAAAATCTTATATCGACCTATCAGACCAAATCAAGGCGTATTCATCTTCCCTTCGCAGAGGCACAAAATGGTATCGAAAACTTTGCCATCGAGTTTTTGTTGGGTTCTGCAGTCGTAAATGCTTACCTGGTGTACAAAGAAGTTACACAACAGAAAATATCTATAACAGACTTTCGTAAACAACTTTCTCTATCTCTACTAGGGCTGTCAGAAACTGAATCGTTGCCAGACCAAGTGGAGAACAAGAAAACTGAAGGACACTGTTTAGTCGAGAACGATTCGCGATTACGTTGTATTGTGTGTTATCGCGATATAAAAGCAACAGATGGACGTAAAAGTGCACTACATAAGGCAACACGTTCAAAATGGAAATGTTCGATTTGCAAGAAATGTTACTGTCTTCCATGTTTTTTTGTAGATCACACTGCTACAAATAATGCAGTCTAATTTTTATTGCCCAGTTTATGTTATGACAATAGTTTTATTTTTACTGTATAATGCAGTCTAATTTTTATTACCTAGTTTATGTTATGACAAGAGCTTTATTTTTACTGTTTTTTGTGTTACTACTCGCGCAGAGTGCGCAGTTTTTTTTTCTAAGTCAATAAATAAATAATATCTTATCAGCTACGTGTGTTTTTTATACATCATTTTTCTAACCACAGTTTCTCACAAAAACTAACAAAAATTGCTGGGTCAACATTAACGTGTGGTTTCCTGGACCACGCTCTATCCATTCCCATAAGGATTGTATTAACGCGCGACACACGGCCGAGTTACGCGGCAAAATAGAACAGCAAGTGTCGTGACAGAACATATGTGTCGCGCGGCCCCAGAAACAAAAGTAGGTGCGACACACGGAATATGTCGCATGGCCGTTAACGTGTTTAAAAAAGGTTATTTAAAATAAAATATTTCTTTCTTTATTTTTAAGAAATTTATTTTGATTTGTGGTACAAACTAAAAAATAAAGTACGAAATTTTGAAACAATTATTGATTGAACCGGCACCTCTGGAATAAAGAGACTCTCTTTTTATTTATCAAAAAAAAGGTATGTATCTAATGACCATAATTGTCATGGTCATTAACTAATTTGATTGATTACAGTTGATATTATTATAACAAAAGCGCTCAACAGGAAATAAAACAATAAATAAAATAAATATTTACAAGTAAATAATTAAGAAAACAATATTTGAGCAACCATACAAACTAGAAGAATACGTTAATTTAAAAATAGAGTGTAACAAGGCGTATGATAAACTTATTTTAGACAAAAACTATTAAGAAAAGCAAAAAGCTCAAGAAAATATACCTTTGTTAAAAATAAATACTATATTCAACTGAAAAAGTATTGGCAACCCTATTTGCATTGTTAGTCTTTAAGAAATATGCGGCGCTTAAAATTAGATAGTGAATGGAAAAATGTCAGTTTAAGCTTGGCTTATTTTTTAACAACTAGCGGTCAGAGTTACCAACCGTCCGACATTATCACACGAATTGATTACATTAATTAAATTTATTATTACTGGGGCAGAGCCAGAAGCTTAAACTTGGAACGCACTCTTTGGCAATATATCCAGTCAGAATCGGTAAGCACTCTTTGGCCTTGATGTCATGTGGCCAGATTGGGCGCTTTATCGCAATTTAGGCTACTTTCTACAAATTATTGTGGTCATTTTTTTAAGGAAATCGCAAAACGATTTTTGGCCTACAATTTTATAAATATTACGATTTTTTGTTTATAAAAAAATAGAAGTTTAAAACAAAAACCAGCTTCATTCCGACAAGTGCCCTGCCCAGTCACTTGCTAGATGGTTTTATTAGTTGTATTTTGTATTGCATACATTTAAGGCTTTGTCCGTGTCCGTCGTTTCTCGCCAGTTTTCGCCAGACAGACTTTCACTTTGTTAAGGGTAGTACCGAAGGAACAAGGATTCGATTTCATAAAGGAAAATCACGACCCTTATTGCAGGACATCTAGGTGTTTCTAAAACTCTCTCGAGGATCCGTCAGAGGTATTTCTGGCCAAAATTAAGAGCCGATGTCGCACGGTTTATAAGTAAATGTTTGACTTATCAGAGGATCAAGCTCACAATTTCGCAGTGCACCTTTCAAAGAGTTAATGAAAAAATATAACGTCACCATGAAATTCACAGCCTTATATCATCCTCAGGCAAACCCTGTAGAAAAAAACTGTTACGGGTCAGAAATTATTCTTACAGATAATTAACTGAAATAATTATAGGGGTTTACTGAATATTAAATAAA